GAGCCTCTACCGGAAAACGGAGCCGCCAGGTACACACCTGCTTCGATCTTACCCTCCGTTGGCTCGACCGCGGCCTAACGTTCGGCGCGCTAGCAGGAATCGGGCTCCGTTTCTTGTCCCGACGACTCCGGTTTCGTCGAATCGACGGAATCGCGTCGAAAACGCGACTCGCTCGTGCCGGGAAGCGATAAAAATCGTGACTACGATTTCGCGTGCGAACGCGCCGTTGTTCCTCGCGCGTGCCTCCACGAGTCGGCCGAATTTTTCGGCGTCCTCCGAAACGATCGAAACTCGCGTATTTGCGGCGTACGTTCGGGTGGCGGCGCGTATACGCGCGAGCGTTCCTTTCGCGAAGAGAGAGCCGGCTGCTCGGCAAGAAGAAAGGGAGAGAGGAAACGAAACGAGCGAGCGAGCGAGCAGGCGGTGTGGGGCTCTGACCGAAGAGAAACATATTTCTTTATTATTACTCCCACCAAGCTTATTTTTCTTACCCACCGACTTGGATTCCAGATGGTTGGCTCGCCCTCTCCTCGTCTCGCCTCGCCTCGCCTTTCCCTTCGTCCTTCTTCCAGCTCTCCTCCCGCTTCTCCGTCCTCGCCGCCTCTCTCTTTATCTGCTCGTCTTTTTAGACGAGAAAAACTTAACCCCAAACTCGTCGTTCTCTTTTTACGCGCGCGCTGCCAACCAGAGGGAAAGAACGGAACAGAAGAGAACCGGGGTACCGTCCTGCGACCGGTGCAAGGTAAATAACGCGTCGCTGGAACAAGTCGAATCGTCGTACATCTTTTTGTTCGCGTTTCGCTCGAGGCGGCGCGGCGTCGAGCGGATAGAGCCGTTCGAGAGGTGCACGCGCGACTCGGCGCAGGGCGTCACGCGATCTCGCCTCGAATTCCAACGCGATCTCGGCTCGATAAGATCGCGACGTTCGAAGAAGCCGACGTTTGAAATTGGCGGCTCTCGACGGCGTCGTGGCGCGCTACGTTCCTCCGCTTTCTCTCCGTTCCGGCGTCGTTCGACCAAACGAAAACTTTCTCGAGCAACTGTACTGGCGTCGGACTGCCGCTCTGGCTGTTATTATTTGTATATTATTCATAATTTAGATACAATTATATCAGCCTCCTCGTCGCACTCGACCCGCCACCGATATCGTCGTCCCTCTCTTCTCCTTCGCCGTCCTCGTTCCACCGTCGGAAACGCGACTCGCGTTGGACGAGGACCGGAGAGAGTACGAGACAAGATTCGATACGCGTTTGTGCCTGCGCGCGCGGAAAAGAAACAGAAGACGGCGAGCGAGTCCGTGACTCGGTCGAAAGAGACGAACGGAGATACGTAGAAGCGGGAGAGAGCGAGACGGTTGCGAAGAAAAGAAGGGAATGGAAGGGCGGGTTGGCCAGGGGGTAGAAGGGGGAGAGGAAGGAAAAGGGACAGAAAGGTATAATAAAGTTTGTAGGAGGGCGAGGAGAGCGGAATCGCGTTGCGTAGTGGTGGAGAGAGTTTCGAGCAAAGAAGAAGGTGTTCGTGGACGGTGTAGGAGCACGAGGTAGGAAACGGCGTGGAGGAGGCCAGGGCGACGGGGAGACAGGTGAAGAAGGAGAGGTAAGCCGGTGGTCGCTTTGGCGCGGAGGTGCAGATGGGGCGGCGGGGGTGGCAGCGGAGGTGGAGGTGCGGTCGGTGGCGGCGACGGCGGTGGCGCGAGCGAGACCGAGATAGCAATAAAATATATTACCGGAGAAAAATGATGGCACCGCGAGACAAAGAGGGCCGATGGCATTAGCCGCGGCAGCCTCGAGAAATTCCACCGGCGTTATTTCGTTGCGTTACCTGTACAACCCGAGTTACCTGCCTGCCGTTCGTTCGTCCGCGAGTCTACCTTCGCGAAAAGATAGCCGATTTCGTTCGTAGGACAATCGCGTATCGGAAAAGGAGCCGCGAAAGACGAATCGAACGACGCTCTCGAAACGAAGAGAAGAGGAAACGGGTAAAGTTGAACGGTGAGAAATAGAATGGGTGGGTGGGGATCGCGGAGCAAAGACTCGGAGAGAGGAACGAAGAGAGCGCGGTCGAGAGGATAGAGAAGGAGAAGGGAGGGACGCGAGGACGTTTTGTAATTTCTATAATTTAAACTCCGCGGCAGCTGGCGTGGCTCGTAATTACTCTAACCCGAGGAGGAACGCGCGAGCGAGCCTGCCTGCCTGTTTACTTTTAATTCCTTCTGGCTAGAGCCACGAGCACCGCTAGCTCGCTCGCTTACGTCGCTTTCTCGATTCTTTGGCCGCAAAGGACGACGAAATCGAACGGAAGGATTTTTCGGTCCGACCGAGTCGTTGCTCGCGTCGACTTTGTATCGCGCGTCCTACCGGAGACCGACGAGGCATCGTTTCCCTCTTCTCGCTTCCTTTTCCATTCGACCTCTTCCGTCTTCCGGCCGCACCGAGAGAACGCCTGCCTTTTTTTTCCTCTTCCTCTCTCTCCTCTTTCTCTCTCTCTCTCCCTCTCTCGTTTACCCATCGCGGCTCGCTTCGCCTCGCTTCGTTTCTCCGACTCGTTGAAAAATCGTCCGTCGTAAACGGGAACAGCGGTTTTATTGTTCCACCGCAGACAATGCCCGGGAATATTATAAAAACTTTCCGACGGAATATATTAATGTTAACTCATCGCTTTACCGTTAGGCAAACTTTTCGGTCGAGCAAGCACCCGCGTCTTTGCGTCCGTCCGTCTCCGTTTCTGTCTTCCTTCGACTCTCTCCCGGCCGATCCGTCGTTCCTCCTTTTCCGTTCTCGCTCCTGCTCGTTCCCGATTCCCTCCCCCTCCGGCTTTCTCATCCCTTCGCTCGGCCGTTGCTCCGCGCTTCCCTTCGCGTTTCTTCCGTTTCGCGACTTCAGCGAACTCGAGTCTCGATCGCGCTCGGACATCGATCGTTCGCAACAGAACCGACTCGATCTCGGCAGCGCGAAAAGACGTCCCCGTAATTATTCCGACGAGGAGGAACCGCCGCCGCCACCCGAACGTTCCATCGGCTAGAATTCGAGGTGGTTCGCGCTCGAGAAGCGGAACGACTCGACGCTGCCCGACCGACGATAAACTTTAATGTATTCGAAATTATTAAAATATATTCGTGGCTGCGTGGCGTAGATGTTTTAACGAGCCTCGCTCCCGGTGCCAGCGTCTCGGCGTCGACGTCGCGGTGCAAACCGAACGAATTACGCTTATAACGACTTATTTAAATTTATATCGCGCGTAAATCTATCGTCGCGTCGTTTCCGTCTCGAGGAAACGTTCGCGTTACGCGTCGGAATCGTCCGAGAGGAAACGCGCGAAAAACCGTTTCCCGGCTTCTGCCCGTTGTAGATATTCCGCGATCGAGCGATGATTTAGGTAGGTAATTATATTCGGTACCGCGAAGTGGGATTGCTCGCGCGGCAAACAATTAATTGCGAACGAATAGGAAGGGGCTCGGCCCCGCGGAATATTACCGCGCTTATTTTTCATCCGGCCTCTCCGGGCGCGCATTTCGCGCCTGTTTTTAATATTACACCGCGGTCGCGAATGTTTTAGCCCCCGATCCCACCCACGCTCCCCCTGTACCGTCCTTTCGGGAAGCGGCGGTATCGCGTCCGTAACGAATTTACGATATTAATTTGGCGTACCGCCTTGGCGATTTATTATCTACGCGGCGTCCGAGAGAACGGGAACAAAAAAAAAATGTATATCGCCGAGAGAACGGCGATATACATCGCCGATTTTGCTCGCGAGGGGTTGGAGGAAGTTCGCGAGAGCGCGCGCGCGCGACCGAACAGAGAGGAAAAGGTGGCGGAGGAGGCGGAGGAGGAGAGCGCGCGAAGAGGGTTAGCCCTCGAGGGAACCGCGAGGATTCGCGAGTACGCGCGCGCGTACGAAACAATCGTACGGGTGTACGCGAGCACGGGCGATAAAACGATAATTCTATAATTTATTCCCGTGGTATGCGCGTACGCGCGAACGAGGCATCGGGCAGCGATCGCGCGGTAGCGCGTTACGCGTACGCGCGCGCCTATATGGGCCGCACAGTTGGCGTTAATATATCATCGGACGCATCTGCCCCCAACGACGCGTTTCAATATGTTCTACGAGCGTATAACCGTTTCTATAGAAATATTCTCGACGCTCCGGCGCTCGCCGGTCGGTCGGTGAGCGTCCGCGGATACGTCCGGATATAAATACGCGTATCGTGGCCCTCGCGGCCGATGGATATCGCCAAGGAGACCGACGCGGTCTCCCGAAGCGTACGAAAAATCGCGGTTCACCCGAGGCGATCCGTCTCTCTCTCTCTCTCGTCCCCGGCTCGACGTTTTTTTCGTCCGTTCTTTCTTCGAGCGTGTGTGTCTGGTAGTCGCAATTTTGTATCGGCCATTAGCGGCGTATCGTGGTCGGGGTTAGGTGCGCGGCTTGATGGAAATTTATGACAGCCACTTGATTGGGTTCAACGTTCCCGGCATTTCGTAGCCGCGATCCGTTTCGCCGGTAGACTTTCGGCCCTTAACGACCTCGACGACGATCGAACGCCTCCGAGGCGCTCTTCTTTCTCGCGTTTCCTCGCGTTTCCTCGCGGACAGGAGAATCTCCCGTTATTCGTCTTTTGCGACGCGTAGAAAACGTTGCGCGCGGGCCACGGATCGAGCCAGCGAACGAACGACGAACAAGCTGG